AACTGATCAGTTAATCTTGTTAGATCACTCAGCATTAATATTAACAATTACTCACTCTACTTTAACTGTTATTATAGGCTCATGGTATTAAAAGTGATTCCTCATTTGTCATTCTGAGATATTTTATTATTTGATCATTTTGTATAAAATATCTTCTAATGTTCCCTTTTTCTTTACTTTAAATGTATTCAATAACCTTAGAAATCTTGACTTATTTCTGGTGGTAGGAACAGCAGTATGAGCAGTGTTAAAATTAGACTTTTTTTTTACTGTTTGCATGCTGCATTGTTCTTCTAATAACAATGGGCACAGCTCTACCTGTCTGTCCTCTGGGATCCACCTGGCACTCCCTCATCAATAACTTGGCTTACTGGCAGAAAGTCTGCTCACTGACTACAAAACACAACGGCAACAAATTAGATTCCTAATGAGCACAGCCTATCACTAATGACTGTGCAAAGTCGGTGCAGTGTTGCACATCACTTATATCAGCATATTTGAACTATATGGTGAAAGAAAATCTATCTATCTATCTAATTTATATAAAACTGGGTAAATTATTCCTTGAGCGAAGACCACTTATGTAGTGCACATTATAGCAAGTGGCTCAGTTTTTGGTTTATTCATAAATGTGATTTTACCCCCTTCAGTCTCCATTATTTTAAAATTCAAAGTGAGGTCTGGAAACAACTAACCTGGTTATTAACAATGACATTATCACGTCTACTGTACCCTGACCGCTTACCAAGAGAGAAAGATGGTTTTGTTTCATGTTTATCAGTAATCTGTCTAATCCATGTTTAGGTGTCCTAATAGGTGTCCTATCACCTGCCAATCAACAAAAAACAAATATTTTGCCTGGCCATGGTATAAATAGTATATAGCAGAGCATAACGTTAAATCATTACACCTGGTAGAACTTCTACCACACGTACAAAGGCTGGGTCCTTACTGCAGAGGTCTGGGCTTGATTCCAATCTGCAGCCCTTTACTGCCCTTCTTCACATCTCTCTCCCCTTTCCCCTTCAGCTGTCTCTGTCAAAAAAAAGGGCAAAAGCCCCCAAAGTTTTAGAAAAAAGGTAATTAGCTGACCTGATGTTTATATATCACGTTTGAGCATTTGGATTTGGTGCCCAAAAACCTTCAAACAAATGTTCCACATTGTGGGAAATACGCTTATGTTCAATTACATTTTCTGGTAACAGAATCCACCAACCAGCACCTGTAAAGCTCACTAATTAACACGTTGCTTAACATGGATTAAACATCTGGTTTATTAAATCTGTAGGCATAGAAACCAAAGTATAAAAACAACAATTTGCCTATTTTTTGGCTGGGAACAGTAACTGGTTGCCTGGCAACGGCTACCGGCCAAGAAATAGTCTGGTACATAACTCCCTGTAAAACATTACATTGTTGTTGTTACCCTTCAGTTTTTTGAAGGGATTAAACAGAGATATAACGTGTTAACTGGTTACCTTTAGGGGTACCGGCAGTTGGTCCAGCTTCATACTGTACAGATTTGATAGTTACTTGTGCGTTTGGAGTGAGGACTGAAGTTTTTAATGGGTGGTCTTTGTAAATATGTCCCTTATACCAATAATGTTTTCCTTCAAAGTTGAAAATTAAGGATGTCTCCCCTGTGTGAGGGCAAACAGACTTGGAAATGATCTGCGCTCTACTGAAATGGTGCCAGCCTTGAGATGAGGCATAATCACAGTTGTTGTTGCGAGTGCAGAGCTTGCAATTCTTCTGTTCATTAGGATAAAAAAACAGAATATACATCAACTTGACACAAACAGAAGTCTTACAGTCTGGCATAATTAATCACTCCCTGACACAATCCCCATCTAATGAGCTATCCAAATTGTAAACAGTTTATCATAAAATGCTTTTGAGATCTAAACTCTGCACATGCACGCTACATGTCGAATATCTCTGTGATTCTATCAAAGACCAGAGCAGTAAGAGTGAGGCTTTTCACCGACAATGTCATGAATAAATGAAGTAGAAAAAAGCCAAAGCATATCTCTCCTGTACTCTGCAGAATTAGCATGATGTTAAAAACAAACTTTCAAGCCTCTTCTCTTGTGACTAATAGTGTTAGTGTGCAAGCTACGTGGATACAGTTTGAAAGAGAATCATAATGAATGTCCAGAGTTACATATTATGGTTTTGTAAAAACATAAAAACGTGTAGCACATGAAGTGCTATTGAAGAATTTCTTCTGTTTTGTCAACCTTGAAAAAAGAAAGTGTGTCTATTAAAATTAAATATAGACTGAAATATGAGAGTGAGTTAACATGAGAATTTTAAAGTACCCCTACTAACTAAGAAATTAAATAGCCATCGCTGAATAAAATAGTTAAGATGGTTTAAAATTATATATTTTATTATTATTATTATTTAATTGTACATTTCTGTTTCTATTTTGAAGAAATGTGTTTGTTTCTTTCTAACAATTGTTGTTAGTCTTCTGGACAGATGAGTGGCTGTGATAGATGTATTCATGACATGTGTGATGACATTGTACAAGTGTTTACTGCAGGATGGTGTCCTGGCATGTTGCATTCTTCAGGGGACACAAATCAAGCTTCCATTGTAAGCTCGTCAGTCATCGCTGTGTTTTGGCAAACTGCTCAGTTCTCACAGTAGGATGCTGGCAATACTGGTTCTGCCGTGTCAGAATAATGATAGGACACTGCCACATTTTAGTCTCATTATGATGTTTTTTGGTCCTTTTTCAGACATCCAAGAGTGGAAAACAGAAAAATATTCGAGAAAAAGATTTTTAAGCTTTTCATATAGCTGTTGCATGACGTCTCTCATCAAAAAAAGCGTATATTATCTTGTCTAAATGTTTTCCTCATTGCATGTTGTTTGATGAAATGAACAAATAGGCTGATAATGAACGCATGATGACAATACATGAAAATATTTTGATGCAAGAGGACGTATTATTCTTACAAATGTCAATGTGGGTTTATAAACCAACTAGAGAAACATTGTAATTAATTGTCTATGTTATTTTTTTTTAAGATAGGGTCAGCAGGAGGGTGAGGCGAGGGGTTTGTAATCTGAAACTACACCGCTATATCCCGTATCCTGCACACTGGACCTTTAAGACACCTTAAATGATAATATAAAGGCAGAACTTCAAAGAAGAAAATCAGGATTCTTTTTAATTCTAACAATTACCAATGTCCCGTAAGTAGTTGTGCTCTTGTTATACAGTACTGACCTTCTTAGATAAGACTCTTACTACTTTAAATCAAAGTTACACAAGATTTTTATGCAAAAGAATATTCTCTCTTGCACTTTACATCATCATTTAGAGCTGCAAAAAAGACGAGGAATTATTCCCAAATTAGACTGGTTCTGTTTAGTCAAATTAAAGGTGCCCTGTGGAGTTTACAAACAAATAAAAAAATTAAAGTTAGGTTTACTTTTAGTTTTATTCACCAAACGCACTGTGTGTAAATACATTTCATGTATGTGATTATAAATGTCTTGATTCCTATAGTGTCCCAGTAAGGGCGAGATCTCATTACAACTCAGGAAGGCAACCTAGGGTTGCCACCCATCCTGTATAGTACAGGATCGTTGAAAAATAAAATACACTGTCCTTACTAAATCAATAAAGGAGGCTATTTGTGTCATATTTTTGTTCACACCCTGCATACACTACATTAGAAACAAATAAGAATTGTTGTGTTTTTGTTACCTTAGAATAAGCCATTTTTATCAACAGAGGGAGCCAGTCCTCTGAACGGACGAACCAAACACGCTCCAGATAGGGGCTTTCACATTTTTCGTAAGGTTCGCGGCCACCATAGTTTAACCTACACACTTGAAATGGGAAGATGAAACAAGGACATTGCAATTAGCAACTACACAGCTAGTTTCCACCGAATTATCTATCTTACGCACTGCTGTGCACAGATTCTGTGCCCAGGTGACCCAGACTAGACATAGGAATCCCATACCATCAACTTTGATAGTCCAAATGAAACTCCAAATGTTTGCCAGCAAAATGTGACACACACTGCTGTTTTAAGCAGAGCACTGTAGTTTTAGATGCCTGCAATCTATGCAAAGTTTCACTTTTATGTAACTGTGCCAAGACGGGATTTAATAAACAACATTATTCATCAGCTGTAGGGAACCATCTGAAGAGACTCTACAAATGTGAATCACTGACTGTCTTATATCTGTTTGAGAGGGTTTTTTCCTCTTAGAAAAATGAAAACAAAGTGATGCATTCTCTGTCCAGAGCCACCAGTCTGTCAATTTTATAAAACCTGAATTACTACTAAGTGGCAGCTGTCACCAAGTTGCACTCTTACACACCCAATCCTACACCTACTGATGAGCAAAGCACCGATCACAGAGCATCAAAAACTATTGCTCACACAGTAACAAAGTAAGCTGTTACCTTAAAACAGATGTTTTTTCCCTCACCTTTTTCTGAGCTGAATTATCCAACGTATTTATAAGACAAGAAACTGAGACACTCCTGAGTCATCTAGGTAATTAGTTAAATATTTATACATCCCAATTTGGAAAACAAGCAATCTCCCACACAATTTGTGACTGGCCAGTGTGTTCTTAAAACTCACTGGATTAGAAAAAATGAGTTGCTAATTAGGGTGCAGTAGTTGACATAACTTGCACAGTCCCATTGATTCCTTCTTTGGGGATGGGAGTTTCTCAACAGGAGTTAACCACACTGTCGGTGTATTAATTTGAAAACCATACAGCTGGAGGCCCATGGGTGCCAGCCCAGTCGGCCCAATTCAATTTTCTGCACTTGAAAATGGGTAAGTGATAGTCCAAGTGGCCAATTTATACACCTATCTGAAGCCCAGAGAGTCTGTGTGCTTATAAATCACCGGGTGTATAATTATGTACTGTGTGCTGAAAGGGATGTTCCCTCTTGGGATAGAGAACATTCTACTTCACACTGAAGTTTACTGCACCACGACTCCTCTTTAACTCACCTTATCATAGCTCCCCCACTGCTGTTTTCTGCCCCCTGTCTGCACACATGACTCAGAATGGCATCGCTGGGAAACCCATCTATGGTCACTGACAGGAAATCCTCCTGGCACAGAGGATGAGTTTATTTCAAACTTTACTGTCTTATAAACAGCAGAGAGGGAGCACTCCATTCAAAGAAAACTGCATTTAGAAGCCAAGGTTGTACTGCCAAATGATTGTTTTCCAACCACCTCCACCCTCAGGAGAAGAATTTCTGTAACAATGGGTACACAATGTTTTGACGTCAATTTATTTCATACTTCTAAATTTAAAAGATCAACTTTAACAATTACCCCACCCCACACACACACAGTTACTCAGTGTTGCCTAAACACAATCAGTAGAAAGTGTTGAATTCCCACACCCACATTGTTAGAAACAAATACAAACACACACATGATTACACACATATACTACACGTACACAGAGATATATTTTTAGCCATTACCCGTTGTATCCTCACTTCCAACAGCACTTTCAACTCCATGAGTCGGTGAGTGGGAATAAGTGTTTCTTGGATGGATCCCGCATTGATACAATAGAGCAGATAAAGTAGCACTAGCTGGGTTCATAGAGTGGAGAGCCAATAGTGTAACCATCAGCCAGGCTTGGACATGAACATTAAATGGAGATACTGTTAAGCACTACACTGTTGTAGTTTGGGGCTCAAGGTTCTGGCAGTGTAACTTCACTACAAGGGAAATGACATGTTTCAAATTTCCTTCTTGACCTTGGAAATAGCAGCTGACCATACAGCTTCACCTCAAGGTCCATTTAGTCACCATTCCAGAGCGTTCAATGACATTGTATAACAAAATTTGTTCAGTGATTCAAAAAGAATAGAATGAATGAATGAAGTGATCAGGCTAGCTTTGTTGTCCATGTTGGCTCAAAGGTTTAATTTCGAAGTCCATGGAAACAACATTTTGAGAGAACAATGTCATCTCAAGGTCTAATTAGTACTTTGAATCAACAGTTATTTGACAACTGAGCAAACTGAGATGATGTGATATGACTGAAAGCTTCCAAAACAGCTTTTAAATGGACCCTAATCTGAAAGCAGACATGCCCTTAATTATGCATAATTTTAAGTCTTGGTATAAATTAAACAGGTTAGTTATGCAAACAATCGAACCCCCGTAAAGTTGTTTTGAATCAGGAAATTAGCTATAGAGACCAAAACATTTTGCACCAGCCTTTTTTGTTTGACTGTACTTGGTTCTAAAGACCCTTTAATCTAGTTTAGAAATGAGCTATTAGTTTATATGACATATTATGCATTGACTTGTCCATTAAACATGTTATACTAAAATTATATTCTATAATGTCAAATATGAGTTGAGGTGCAAACCATTTATAATGACACTAGAGAATGACCATTGAATTTAGCAATTAACACATATATTTGAGGGAATATTCGAGAGCACAAACCACTCTGCTGCCTTCGCTCTCTTAAAGATGGTTATCTACTGTAAATCAATAGGCCTCCTCACTATTGGCATGACTGGAAGCTGACTCAGCCTAATTACCCTCTGGTCCGACCTTTAAATCACACGAATGAGAACAAATAAATAATGACCGGTTAAAGTACCGCTGTCTTAGCGCTTCCGTCAAAATCGGCACGCACAAATGAATTGTAAATTTATGGAAATGCAACAAGCATGAGAGGAGCGTCTTGCATTTTGGGTGACAAATTGAAAGCAGGGGAACACCCGAGAACTGTCTGCCTGAGTGCCAAGTAAGACAGTTAATCTACACTGTCCTAGGCCACTTAATTCCCACTGAAATGAGGCACACATTCCCCTCTCCTTCCTATTGCCCATGTTCTTTTTTTTCCTTATCACTGTAATTTGGTGTGCACTGACAATGGGGAATTTGACAGAGCTATTGACAGTAGCTATTCCACAGTGAGCTAATAACTTCAAGATTTCAGACAATGACAATGGGGGAAATATTAAACAGGATTGTACTGTAGCCCGAATAGAAAAATACAGTAATGACAAGTAAAAGGACTGATAGTAGAGTATATTACAGCACCATCACCCCAGGAACTTTTCTTTAATTTATTTTATACGCTCACATTCATTTATAGGGAAAGATTTAGGACTTTCAATTTTAACCCGAGTTAGAGACAACAAATCTAAATAAAAAGCTGCAAACCTTCAATTTTACCAAAATGTAATGTCTACCAGACAATAATGACCTTTGTGTCATTTTTAAAGGGCAGACCTGCACAGAAAATGCTGTGAGAGAAACCAAAAAATGTTCTTCCTAGAGTTGAGTAACCTCTTATGTCATTAGCTTAATTTAGTATAAAGACTGGAACAGGGAGATACAGCTAGCCTAGCTATGTCCAACGTAACTAAAGCTCACTAATTAACATGTTATCTTGCTTGTTTTTGTTTTTGTTTCTCACATTTCTTTGTTTTGATGTTTGCTGATTAGCTAAACTATGATAAACCCATTAGCTTGGTTTAGCTAACTGGCTGCTGGCTCCATATTTGCCGTACAGACGCGAGAGTGGTATCAATCTTCTCTTCACTACTCGGCAAGAAAGTAAATAGCATATTTCCCAAAATGTTTTAAATTTTTGTTAAAGTGATTACAAAAGAAACTGTAGAATATTGGAGCCAGCCAACAGTTTCCTTTTATTTGTGGCGTGTTGAATGACTTCCACCACAAACCTCAAGGTCTCCACATCCACTGCTTCAAGCACAACAAGTTGATGTAGTTGTGCTGAAGCAATGGATCTTGAGCTCGAAGATTTTCAACTCTGGACAGCGAAATTCATTTTGCTGAAGCCTCCATTGATTTTCTTTCTTTCTTTCTCCTTTTTTTACTTCCTCATATGCTGGGAAATGATTTAGAGCACAGCTTGCCACGGAGCCATGCTGTATGTTTAAACTGGGTACACAAAATGTGTAACTTTTCAGACTGCTGGGAGTTTAATGTACATCATGTGAATTCAGATTTTGAAGCTCACCACATATTTTTTTGACCGGTCAATTAAAGAAGAACTGAGTGTTTGAACAACTATACTGTTCTAACAAATCCAGAATTTCCTATTATAACATGAAATCTATTTCAAATGTGGCTGTAATAATTGCTTCTTCAGTAACTAACTTTGTTGGAAGATATGACTTTTTGAGAGTCTCAACTTTGCGAAGTTAGTAAGCTAAATGCGTTTGAAAGTGTAGCTGTAACAAATCTGAAGTTTGACAGCTTTTTTAAGTGATCCTGGGATTTTTCTGCAGTGTTTGTTTGAACATAACACGCTCAGCTTTAAAGCTGCAATAAACATTGATCTGTGTGCTGGATGTGAACACTAACAAAGGCCAATCAAAGGCTCTTGTATTCTGGAGAAAATCTGGTAGTATATTTGACTCATATAGAAGGCTAACAAGGTTTTAGACTCTCAGAGGGCTTTAACAATCCAACAGGCTCCTCCATTAAGGAGTTTGAATTTACTGAAGAGTTATTTCAGAGTTTAATATAAAAAATACATGCGGGACTCAAATTGCATCTTTGCAGATACAGTAACATTTTGTGTTTCTTTTTTACTTCTGCTGAAGGGCGTAAAAGGTTTTAGTGGATTAGTCCTACAGTCAAAAGACTGCCTTTGGAGGATGAACCTTGATTTTAGAGAGCTGAGATTATATGTTATTAACACTGTGTGCCTTGCCACATTGTATAAAATAATTACAGCTTCTATCCTTATTTCTGCACTACCATTAAATTCAACACGGCCAGTCATTTTACTGAATGTCTCATTTCATTTCATACACGTGTACAGTACTGCTTTTACTGTTAATATATTTTTTTATTTTTTATTTTATCATTCAAGCACATAATTTATCATTCAGCAGTGTGACAACTCCAGTCATGTTGAGTGGTAGAAGTATACTTCCATTTTCCAACACTACACTTCTGCTCCACTACTTCAGATCTCATAGTATGATTTTACATAAAAGAAATACATATGATAAGCTTATAAAATGCAATTACACTAGTGGTTCCCATTACAAAAAAAGCTGTGCCTACTTGAGGGCCCCTTCTTACGTTTGTGTTGTTGGCAGTCCCAAAGATTTTCCCTCTAAACTTCTCAAATGCTTTCATGTAAATGAATAGAATTGGATTGGTCAAGTGGAACTGATTTTTTACCTGCTAATCATATCACAAACCCTCAGATTAATCTTGTGAACTAAACATATAACATACATATACATACTAGCTTGAAGTGCACTTCAACCAGCCTCAACAGTAAAATGCTACATGCTTTAGTATTACTTTAAAATTGCAATATATAATTATGTTATTGACCTTATTCAGTAATAATATATCACTTGCAGGGGTACTTTTTCTGCATCCATGAATACTTTTACCTTTGTTATGTTAAGTACATTTTGATGACAATACTTCTGTGCTTAAGGACTACTACTTCATTTTATTCTTGGTACTTTTACTTAAGGGAATGATCTCAATACTTCTTCTAGTCACCTTTAGATGTGAATATTATTTGAATTACAATTACAATTGACTTGTGATTTCATGTTTGATGCATGAAACTACTCTGGCTGCTGTGGAAATTGTGCTAATTATTTATGACTACCTGCTGTTAAGGACCAAGCCTGAGTTATAGCTGGTCCTTCCTAGAGCTGAAGACGGTGTTTGCTGGCTGTCGTGCTGTGGTGACAAAATGAACCGGGGCTCTCATCTGCCTTGTGGGTCATTAATAGCGCCAGAGGAAATGTTTCTGCCTCGTTCTCATTTATCCATTAATCCTCTTTAATTAATTCTCTTTCATTTACCTTGGTTAGAAGAAATCAATAGCACAGGTTTCACTTAATTTGACAAATGTTCTTTTGCTTTATCCCTTGATGCTGTGTGTGCAAGAATGAGTGTGTGTGTGTGTGTGTGTGTGTTTGGACAGCATAAGTGATGTGATGATTAGTTTGAAGTGACTAAATTGAGTCATTTGAGTAAAGTTGAAATCAATGTATGAGTTATGTACTAGCAAAGATTTTGCATGTAAAAATGTTCTGGTGAAGTGTGATGATATTATAT